CTCATAGGGCTTGTTCTCCGGACCCTTGATCATTTTAGTCGCCCTCCTCTGGACACATTCCAGCTTGTCAATATCTCTCTTGAATTGTGGTAGCCCAGAATTGGACACAATATTCCAGGTGTGGTCTAACCAAAGCAGAATAGAGGGGTAGCATTACTTCCCTAGATCTAGACACTATGCTCCTATTGATGCAGGCCAAAATCCCATTGGCTTTTTTGCCGCCACATCACATTGTTGGCTCATGTTTAACTTGTTGTCCACGAGGACTCCAAGATCTTTTTCACACGTACTGCTCTCGAGCCAGGCATTGTCCCCCATTCTGTATCTTTGCATTTCGTTTTTCCTGCCAAAGTGGAGTATCTTGCATTTGTCCCTGTTGAACTTCATTTTGTTAGTTTTGGCCCATCTTCTCATCTGTCAAGATCGTTTTGAATTCCCTCCCAATTTGGTGTCATCTGCAAACTTGATGATCCTGCCTTCTAACCCTTCATCTAAGTCAGTAATAAAGATGTTGAACAGGACCGGGCCCAGTACGGAACCCTGCGGCACTCCACTCGTCCCTTCTTTCCAGGATGAAGAGGAAACATTGGTGAGCACCCTCTGGGTTCATCCATTTAACCAATTACAGATCCACCTCACCGTAGTTTTGCATAGCCCACATTGGACTAGTTTGCTTGCCAGAAGGTCGTGGGGGACCAGACAGTGTTTGAAGCAAGTTCAACCCCATTGGGCTGCTTTAATTCCATTCCCCTTCTCCAAGAAATGCTATCTCTTGAGTTTTTTTCTGTCCCAGAAGAGGCAGCCCTTCTTCATTCACAGACGAGATGGAATACCTTTTCCAAGACCTCAATAGCTATCTGGAGTTTTTAAGAAATCCATGCAATAACCACACTGAAAACTGTTTAATATCTACCATCCCATTATGAAGAGCATCCTTTCAATTCTATGGTCTGCTCAATAATATATGTTGGTGGTTTTGTAGAGGGCTATGATGAATCACATATTAACAACGCACACTAGTGATAGACCCTCCAGTGGAGCAAGTGGTGTGGTGGAGGCTCCTTCTTCGGAAGCTTTTAAAAAGAGGTTGGATGGCCATCTGTCAGGGGTGCTTTGAATGCAATTTTCCTGCGTCTTGGCAGAATGGGCTTGGACTGGATTGCCCACAAAGTCTCTTCCAACTCTATGATTTTATGATTCTAATAGGTTAAACCTTGACTAAAAGGTTGGTGGTTCAAATCCAGGAAGTGGGTTTTTTCATGTCAGGAGTGACTTGAGAAACTGCAAGTCGCTTCTGGTGAGAGAGAATTGGCCATCTGCAAGGACATTGGCCAGGGGACGCCCGGATGTTTTTGATGTTTTACCATCCTTGTGGGAGGCTTCTCTCATGTCCCGCATGTAGAGCTGGAGCTGACAGAGGGAGCTCATTTGTGCTCTCCTCGGATTTGAACCTCCGACCTGTTGATCTTCAATCCTGCTGGCACAAGCGTTTAACCCATTGCGCCTTCCAGGGCCTCCGGGAAGTGGGGTGAGCTCCCATCTGTCAGCTCCAGCTTTCCATGTGGGGACATGAGAGAAGCCTTCCACAGGATGGTAAAACATCCAGGCATCTCCAAGCAATGTGAGCAAAATACATTTTACGAGAGATTTAGGACTGTCTGCACGCCCACCTATGCCTAAAATACCTATCCTATTTCACTTGGACATGCCCAGCATTTTTTAAAATTTTAACTATTACATTTGGCCCTGCCACAGGTTTTTAATGCGTCGTGATATTATTGTTTTGCTTTGTTTATGAGTTTATTTATTGTTGTATTGTTGCCGTTGTTGTTTTATTGATGTATTTGGGCTCGGCCTCTTGTAAGCCGCACCGAGTCCTGCGGGAGATGGTAGCGGGGTATAAATAAAGGTTAATTATTATTATTATTATTATTATTATTATTATTATTATTATTATTATTATCCCCTTGCAGCCAATTTTCTCACACCAGAAGTGACTTGCAGTTTCTCAAGATGCTCCTGACACGAAACACACATACGCACACTAATTGTTTCTTTACACTCCTGTCCTGCACTACTTAAACTCCATTGGCACCTACTCCCAGGTAGATCCCTACAAGGCTGCAAGTCTCAACCTTCTTAATACTTCCACCCTCATCCTTGAGGCCATTTACCTAGTGAATTGTAATAGATATTGTAGTGACCTTGGAGTTTAGTCTGCCATTTATTGAACAGATAAAACAGATAGATAAATCTATACTGATTGAGACCCATTTTCATTCCAGTGTCGTTGGAATGCAATTTCAGAAATGAGATAGTCAAAAGCAAATGCTTTTTTGATGTAGCAGCCATTATCCACTGTTGCCAATGTGATTAAAGCCACAAATTTATGAGGTGGACTTAGCTTTTGTCCCCTATCACTTAAAAAAAGCCCATAAGAACCAGAATAAATACCACTTTCCCCATCCTTAAGCTGTAGAAGGGACTAAGCATGTAAACATGGCTACCCAGAGTGACATCATGTCCTGCGGGATGGACCTTCCCACCCCTTCTCCTAATATATAAGCAGTTCACTTGAACTACTGCCCTCTTTAGCAGCAGGACTCAAAGGGAGAGAACATCAGAGCTGGATTAGTGTGCCGCCTATCTGAAAGAAGTGGCCTTCTAATACTCTGAAACTAAACCCAAGAGGCAGCTAAGCTTCACCTCCCTGTCCAGCAGCCCAGGGAACTCGCAGGCTTGGCCCGTTATTTACGGCCCTAATTACTCTCTATCGACTAGGAAGCCACAAACGGACAAAGGGCGCTCAAGAGTTCACACACAATTGAATTTCCCAGTAACAATCAGCAGCGAAAGCACACACACAGGGAAGCAGGGAAGGGGAGGGAGAAAATCAATCACAGCAAAGGAGCTGGATGCAGATAGGAATCATCTGTCGCAGCTGCCAGGCTTTCAGCATGAGGGCCCCCTGCTCATCACTTCGGCAGAAGACAAATCATCGGCACTTCCTCCCAACGTGGCAGAGAAAACCACTTGACATCATATTTGATGGCACATCAGTGGTGCAACTGCCAGGAGGATTCACAAGCCCCAGCTGCCCTTTTTCTTACTTCTGTGCGTTGTCACCTGTGCGAAGCCCACCTTAGCTCCTCTGTGTTGACAGAATGAGTGGCCAACATCCTTGTCCACTTGCTAAGACCTACTTGGTAGACCCGGGTGATCAATAATGCAACCCAAAAGGGAGAAAATGTGTCACTCGGTGACATGCAGACATAGACAAAGAAGAAGGGGCACTCCGAGGCAGTTTTGGAAAAGTGTGCTTGTTGCCCTAGAAACCCAGCTGATGATGCTGGGACTAAATGAGGATTTCAGGGTTACAACCTTCTTTGTGATGTTAATCTCTTCCAATTGTTTGCCACCAATGGATCAGGTGTGGCCATTAAAAAGAGAGGGGGGAGGACTCTATCAAAGGAAGAGGGTGGGTCTCTAGGGAGAAGTTCTGTGGGTGGCAGGGGACAGTGAAAGAAGGGAGTACAAAGCTTTTCATTTCCAGGTCACTAGTTCACCAAGGCACCCGGCCTATTGGGCATAAAAATAGACAAAGTGGGCACTGGGTCAAACTGAGAGTCTCTGCAGGACAGGCCAGCTCTTGATACCTCCTGCCTTTACAAACAGTCCTGTCATTAGGCAGAGGGATACAGAAAAAGGGTTCTCATTTTCGCCATGTTGTTGTTGTTGTTGTGTTCCTTCACCTTGTTTCTGACTTTTTTTATTTATCATATTAGGAGCAAACCATCGTATTAGGAGCAAACCATGTAATGTATTTAAGAAAACACAAAGTTAAATGTCCTTTGACTGGTACTTGGCCACTTGGAGTGCCTCTAGCGTTGCTATAAGAAGGTCCTCCATTGTACATGTGGCAGGGCTCAGACTGTAGTAGGTGGTCTGTGGTTTGCTCTTCTCCACACTTGCATGTCGTGGATTCCACTTTGTGGCCCCATTTCTTATGGTTGGTTCTGCATCTTGTGGTGCCAGAAAGTGCCTTCCAAGTTGCCCAGTCTTCTGCATACCCAGGAGGGAGTCTCTCATTCGGTATCAGCCATGGATTGGGGTTCCGGGTTTTAGCCTGCCACTTTTGGACTCTCACTAGCTGAGGTGTTCCTATGAGTATCTCTGCAGATCTTTTTAAAACTATGTCTTGATTTAAGGCATTGGTGTGCTGGCTGATATCCGAACAGGAAATGGGGCGGAGATGTCACTTCCTTGGTCCTTTCCTTCAAATCTTGGTCCCTCAGAATCCCAATCCAACATTCAAACCAGTATACCGTGTTGTGCCCAGTAGAAAACTCTTATGCCTAAAGTTGCTAGATTGAAAATTGTAACTATAATGGTTGTTGGAAAATGGGAATTTCCAAAGGAGGCGCCATGAGGTGACAATATAATGTAATGTAATATAACGTAGTATACATATAATATTTATAATATTATAATGTAATTCAATATAATACTAATAATAATATATTATAATTATATATTTATATTACGTGTAATATTACTAATAATATTACAATATAATGGTATAGAACAATATAGTATTATTTAATACTGATGTTGTGCTATGCTAATAATATAATATAATATATTGTATGTATATATATCTTGTAAGTCGCTCTGAGTCCCCTTTGGAATGAGAAGGGTGGCATATAAATGTCGCAAATAAATAAATAAATAAATAAATAAATATTGGTCTCCACACCCTCTGCAGAAGCCCAGCCCTGAACTAGATGGATCCTTTGTCGGATTCATTAATTTTTTTCCTCTGCCCACATTTCTATGACAGGTCTTTCAGTGAAATATATCCCCACTCACCCCCAATTTCCACAACACTACTACTACAAGAGACATTCCTTTCAATAACTTATTAAGGGTTTGATGTAACTTATCAGTCAGGTTTTCCTGCAGTTGTGAAACTCAGCTTTGGCATGGAACAGATAGCTTACCATCTTCCACCTCCAGGAGTGCTTTGGCCAAGATGCTTCCTGCCACACTAATTGCCTGGCACATGTAGTAGCCTGAATCGGAGGTCTGTGCATCTGTGATTGTCATCTCGCCACTTGGTGATACAGAAAAGCGGCCCATAGCTTGAGGCGGCTGACTGGGAAACAGCAGGATCTACAGGGAAAAAAAGTTAAAAGAACAAGATATATTGAGTTCCCACTAACTGAAAACATACATGCATTTTTTGGGGCTAGAGGAATACTGCAAATCCCCCCAAAGACAACTAGTCACTTCCATATTAGTGTGGCTTGATGTGTCGGACAAAGCTTTTATGGAGCTATCCAAGGTGCTGAATCCCCCCTCTCTCTATTCCCATTCAGCATTTTGGAAAGCTCCTTGAAAATTAGAGTTTTTTAAATCAACTATCTGATATGGGAACCAGCATTCATAACTGACTCCTGACCTCAGTGGAAATCAACCAGCATTTTGTAGAGTAATCATTTCTCATAATGCCTTTCTTGCAGGGATACATTAGCTTTTTTATATTTTTATGCCCATATTTACTATCACGAGATCAGGAGCTCCTGGTGGCACAGTGAGTTAAATCGCTGAGCTGCTGAACTTGCTGACAAAAGGGTCAGTGGTTTGAATCCAGGGAGAGGGGTGAGCTCCTGCTGTTAGGCCCAGCTTCTGCCAACCTAGCAGTTTGAAAACATGCACAAGTGAGTAGATCAATATTTATTTATTATTTATTTTATTGAATTGTGTCATTTGTAAACTGCCCTGAGTCATCCTCGGGCTGAGAAAGGTGGTATATAAATATGGTCACCACCTTTCTCAGCCCGAGGATGGCTCACAACAGCTTACTAATGGCACAACTCGATGCCTACAATAAAATAAAAGCAATTAAAACATGTAGCAGAAATAACATTTGGTAAAATAAAAGTGATAAAAGTGTAAATCATCAGCATCTCATTACTAAAATCATTACCCAATTGCACTGTCCAGTTGTTCCAAAGGTCAGAGTTTGTTTGCTGGATTGCATTTGAGAAAGCTTGCTCAAAAAGCCAGGTTTTAACTTTTTTTTTTTGAAATGTTAGGAGGTTGGGGGCTGATCTGATATCCCTAGGGAGGGTGTTCCATAGCCGAGGGGCCACTGCTGAGAAGGCCCTGTCCCTCGTTCCTGCCAACTAGAGTCTGTGAAGAAGGTGGGACTGAGAGCAGGGCCTCCCCAGAAGATCTTAGAGTCCTATATGGTTTAGAAGGAGAGATACATTCTGATAGGTAAGCTGGGCCAGAACCGTTTAGGGCTTTATAGGCTAAAGCTAGCAGTGCTTTAGGTGCTGCTCTTATTGGAAAGTAATGGCGCTCCATGCAGTCATGCTGGCCACATGACCTAGGAGGCGTCTATGGACAATAGAATCATAGAATCATAGAATCATAGAATCAAAGAGTTGGAAGAGACCTCATGGGCCATCCAGTCCAACCCTGCCAAGAAGCAGGAATATTGCATTCAAAGCACCCCTGACAGATGGCCATCCAGCCTCTGTTTAAAAGCTTCCAAAGAAGGAGCTCCACCACACTCCGGGGCAGAGAGTTTCACTGCTGAACGGCTCTCACAGTCAGGAAGTTCTTCCTAATGTTCAGATGGAATCTCCTCTCTTGTAGTTTGAAGCCATTGTTCCATTGCGTCCTAGTCTCCAAGGAAGCAGAAAACAAGCTTGCTCCCTCCTCCCTGTGGCTTCCTCTCACATATTTATACATGGCTATCATATCTCCTCTCCGCCTTCTCTTCTTCATGCTAAACATGCCCAGTTCCCTAAACCGCTCCTCATAGGGCTTGTTCTCCAGACCCTTGATCATTTTAGTCGCCCTCCTCTGGACACATTCCAGCTCTTTGGCTTAGAAATTGAGATGAGCACCACCTCCCAGAGTCGGACATGACTAGACTTAATGTCAAGGGGAAACATTTACCTTTAACTTATCACAGGATCTAACTTGTCTGCCCTACCTGGAGCTAGCAACTGGAGTTAGATCTTTGCTTTCTCTGTGGAAAAGGAAATTAAAATAGAGACTTTCCATTATTTTTCAAAGGAAGCAAATGATATCAGCTACTGGGTGTACGGTACAAAGAAAATTTCGCAAACCTTCAACTATGAAAGTAACTAAATCAGCTACTGTTAAACTGCAAAAGAAGGGATGTTATCCCTCAATGCGTTCCAATCATAATGTAGCTGAATTATGCCACTGGGAAACAATGAGTGACTTCCAAGCTGTGTATCTACATGTGCTGTGTGACATGAAGATCTGTGCTGTGCTGTATCTCTTTCTTCTTGTCTTTCCATCACTTACTCTCTCAGGATATGAGTAACTGACACAGTAATTGCCCAGAGCTATTTAAAGGCAACTTAGAAAACGCCAATTGTTCATTGCAAGGAAGTGGGTCTCTCTGGAGACGTACCTGCATCCCACTCACTCTAGTTGGCAGACTATGGCTTTTCAGGCTTAGAAATACTACTGATATAAAATCTCAGCTCTTGCTCTGAAGTCTGGGATTCAGGATGAATTACTTACAGTAAAGAGCACTTCCTCCCATATTATTTGTTGTGTTTTAGTTGTTTTAAAACCTAAAACCAGAACGACGACAAAGAAAGAAGCTCATGAACTCGAGAAACAGGATACTGCGGCATTCTGAATACAGCCGATTCTTGTATTCATAGAACCTGAATGCATTTCTTGGTCTCAGAGTTGGCTCCACAAGCATGTGAAGACTTCCTTGAGGACTGGTTCCTTAGAGGTGGCAGGCCTCACAATGTGCTTGACAGTATTTATTTATCTGATTCATTCATTTATAGCTCACCTTTCTCCCAATAATAGGATTCAATGGATGGATAGAAGGGTCTCCGCAGGGAGATGTGGCCATGTGGAGATGAGCACCCCCCCCCCCCCAGAGTTGGACACGATTAGGCTTAATGTCAAGGGGAAACCTTTACCTATTTATTTATTTATTTATTTATTTATTTCTACTAGGCACATACAGGGAGATGTGGCCATTCACATATTCTGGACCCAAGCTGATTTTCCATTTACTACTTTCTTTTTAATGTTTTATATTTATAAAACATTTGCATTCAATTCAATTATATTTGAAACTTTTGTGTGCCATGAATCAAAGTGGGCGCTAGAAACAATATCATACGAAAGCTGACTGGCACAACTTGGGGATCACAACCAGACACAGTGAAGACATCTGCCCTTACGCTATGCTACTCTGCTGCTGAGTATGCATGCCCAGTGTGGAACACATCTCACCACACTAAAACAGTGGATGTGGCTCTTAATGAGACATGCTGCATGATCACGGGGTGTCTGCGCCCTACACCACTGGAGAAATTACACTACTTAGCCGGTATTGCACCACCTGACATTTGCCGGGAAGTAGCAGCCAATAGTGAAAGGACCAAGGCAGAGACATCTCCAGCTCATCCCTGTTTGGGTATCAGCCAGCACGTCAACGACTTAAATCAAGAAATAGTTTTCTAAGATCTACAGAGACACTCGCTGGAACACCTCAGCAAGCGAGAGTCCAAAAGTGGCAGGCTCAAACCCAGCACCTCAATCCATGGGTGATACCAGATGAGAGACTCCCCCCTGGGCACACAGAAGACTGGGCGACTTGGAAGGCGCTGAACAGACTGCGCTCTGGCACCACGAGATGCAGAGCCAATCTTAAGAAATTGGGCTACAAAGTTGAATCCACGACATGCGAGTGGAGAAGAGCAAACCACTGACCACCTGCTGCAATGCAACCTGAGCCCTGCCACATGCACAATGGAGGACCTTCTTGCAGCAACACCAGAGGCACTCCAAGTGGCCAGATACTGGTCAAAGGACATTTAATCAGCTACCAAGTTTGCAAAATTTGTGTGTGTGTTTTTAATCTGTTTGTTTGTTTTGTTCTGTTAGAAATGTAATACAATGTTCTGGTTGCGGATGACACGATAAATAAATAAATATACTTAGATCAATAGGTACCGCTCTGGCGGGAAGGTAACAGCGCTCCATGCAGTCATGCTGGCCACATGACCTTGGAGGTGTCTATGGACAACGCTGGCTCTTCAGCTTAGAAATGGAGATTAGCACTACACCCCAGAGTCAGACAAGACTGGACTTAATGTCAGGGGAAAACCTTACCTAAAACACTTTGAATCTCCATTTGGAATATAAACAGGATATAAATACAGCAAGAACATACACAAACTTACATGTATATAGTAGCCAAAAATATCATCCTATACTTACTTGACTCCCTTCCTTTTGCCAAAACACAGCGGGTGGTGGGTTTCCTTTAGTCTCACATTGAAACGTCACTGTTCGGCCTTGAGTTACAATTTGATCCCGAGGACGGGTCACTAATTGAGGTGGAACTGAGAGAAAAGAAGAGATGGAAGAAAGAGAAAGACAGATTAACCTTGATGATCATAAAGCATCCCCACTCTTGGTTTAGATTCTACTTTGACTTCCCAGATTTTGTGGAAGAGGTTCTTTTTCTGTTATCATTGTCTATTTCTCTGTATACAGTACTCCCCTTGTTTTTGTGCTCAAATTATTCAACAGTCACATTCAGGAATTGATTCTCTTTTAATGTGCTTAATTGTTTGAAGAGTTTCATTGCTAATACTTCTTTTTGACTAAAAATAGTATCACTTTGCATTTCTTCATCCCAATGTTCCTGGCTTTGTCTAGAGTTCTGGCTTCCTGCAAATTAGACTTAATAGTGGATATACATTTTTTCACATTATCTTTAAATTCTATTTTCAGATTGTATTTAATCATGATGGAAATTTTAGGTTTTTTTTTTTTAGCCTTATTCTAACTTTTGATATTAGTAGTACATGGTTTATGCCACAATCTGCTCTCTGGAAAGATATTTCCCAAAATCCTTCTCAAAATCCTCGACAATCACCATCAGTGTAGAAAATACTAAGCTAGCAGTGGGTTGTTGTGTGTTTTTC